AATAAAAGTAATGAAATAATTTAAATTTTAAATTCAAATTCAGGCACAATTTAAATATGACCTTAGCAAAATTAGACTAAGCAATCTAATAATTTAAATTAAGTACATCATAAAATGAACATGTAAAAATTAGATAGCTCGAAGCACGCTGCAAACAATCTACAAGATTCAGAGGTTTAACCGGCATTTACATATCGTATCAATATCAAAACTTGACGTTTCCTCATAAAGATTTTTGCAATAATCAGGTGGACAGGTATTGGCACGGATTTGAATTACAATCATGAAATAAAATCTTTAATTTTTTTCCTGCTACTGTTAGATCGGAACATTGAAAGAATTCTGGGAAGAAAATTAATATGATACTCTGAAAGCTGGACGCTCTAATTACCTCTCCGTTAGAATCGAAGTCTAAGGTGAAAGGTTGATGATATAACGATATTATTACTATTGCATGTCTATGTAAAAGGCACGGAAACTAATGCTCAATGCCATGCCTAGTACCTCTCTGTTCAAGGCTACACCGTTTTTGACTACTGTAAGTGTCCAGCGGAACGGACGTGAGGCCAATAACCTCAGTGGAAACTCTTACAGGCTGACAGAAGCGAGTTCAGCTGCTAATTAATATTTTGACAGTTCTTAATTCTTCCATACACCGCCGTGAAACCGCTTTTTTGACTTTTTAAGCAGTTCGAATTAAAGGTCGATCACCCGGTAATGATGAATTGGCGCAATTTTGTTTCGCTGTTTTGCACTATTTTCATGTCACATTTTTCTTGTGGTTCGAACGAAGAAAGCCGATGAATTCTTCTTGCGAATGTCCGCTGTCGCCCAATCATTCTCACAAGTTAATAAACAGCGCTTATGACTAGGACTATCGACTAAAGTTAAGACCGCCTCGATATACTGTATCGACATGTGATTGGCTGCTGCGACCGCTAATTAGAGTCACTTTTCTGACACACGGTTGGTTGACTGACTGACTGACTGACTGGTCCTACAAATTGCCCGATCAGAAGTAACATTAGGAAGCAATAACAAGCGAGAAATTACTGCCACTCAGTCAGTTAGTCATTGACTCTGCTGGCGGCCAACGGAAGCACAACATCAGGAAGGTGGCAAAGTCGAATAGGGCTGTAGAAGGTGTTCATCGTGACTCGACCGATGGACACGTCTATTGGCTCAGACGGCGAGCAGTCAGACGACAGGAGCAGTCCCGAAGAGTCAAGCTTAGTGTCCACTGCCGATCTGGAGGACCGAAAACGTCGGGGAGACAACAGGTCAGTGTCCCCCTTGGGAGATGGTCACTCTCTGTCAACTCTGAAATTCTCCGTTGAAAACATTCTCAGCCCAGAATTTGGGTGCAAAATCAGAAAATCTGGCAGTCACGGATCACCGCCCGTAGGCGGTGCCTTGGCCTTGAAGAAGCTGTGCCACAGTGACGCCGTACTGACCACGACTGCTGCATCCGCCGTTAGAGACAGATATTCGACCACTACAGCAACGAGGACGATCGAACTGCCGGTCACCCTGCCCGCTTGGGTCTACTGTACGCGATACTCGGACAGGCCATCTTCAGGTGAGCTACACGTTCATGCTGTATTCCTGACGGACAGACGACGGTTGATTGCGATAAGTCATAAGTCATAAATCACTGGCTGAACGCCGCGCCCTCCAAGACGCTGCGATACACCGACAGCCGTTGATGTGTTTGCCGGCGTGATAAATTTTTTTATGCACTGTTGGTCGTTGTTTTAATAGAAAAGGGTAAACTGGAAGGGAGGCG